TGGTCTAGAATTTGTGCATTAAAATACCAAATATCGTAACCAGAAAAATGTTTCGTACGAGCACGCGTTTTCCCCTAGTGGAAATACAAAATGTCTTCTTAGTTTAAAACTTGTATGTAAGCATTGATTTCTAAACATTATTGTTTTAAGTTTGAGCAATAAATGAGAAATAATTTATAAATTACATCGTAGTATTGTTAAGAATTACAATAACACCGCTAGTTTTGATGCTTTATTTCTTTTTAAAGCAAGTTCTCAACTACAAAATAAGTTTGGAATTTCTTCATCACTTTAGCATGTACATGTGTGTGCGGAGAGTCGCGGGTTCGAATCCTCGTCCCACCAAACATGCTCGCCCTTTCAGCCGTGGGGGCGTTATAATGTGACGGTCAATCCCACTATTCGTTGGTAAAAGAGTAGCCCAAGAATTGGTGGTGATGACTAGCTGCCTTCTCTCTAGTCTTACACTGCTAAATTAGGGACGGCTAGCGCAGATAGCCCTCATGTAGCTTTGCGCGAAATTCAAAACAAATAAACAAAACGTGTGTGTGTGTGTGCAATATACTGAAGTGTAACATGACAAAGTTGAAGCTTTTCTAGGTTGTGAAAAGATAGTCAATCATAGATATATCTATATATGCCATAATAGCATGAACATCTGTTTCTTCTTCTGCTACTGATGTATTGTAACAGTTGAACGGAAATGTCATGGTAAGCAACTTGTATCGTTTTTCCTAAAAATCCTGGTTAATTATGTTGCGTACTGTTACCTGGGGCACATGATGGTTTTTGGCAAAGTTTGGCTTCGTTGATTTTCAACTGTTACAAATATTTTACTTACCACGGCTGGTATACGGCTTGTTGCAGGAGTCTCTTTCTGGATAGTCATGGTATCTCAAGTTGATTCTTATTCCTTTGTTTTACAATGCCATTAAGCATAAGGAATGCCCCTGTCTTGGAAATTCTAAATGTCCAACTTGAACACATCTCTATGATTTTAATGTATGAAAATTTTGTGTCGGAAAGGGTTGTTACATACCCTTCTCAAAAGCGATCAATTTCCAATGGTATCACAATACTTACTAAACAATAAATATTGTCAAACTATAGTTTTCATACATTCCGCTCCAAAGTGACATTATATCGGCTATGATTTTCACGTGGCATGCTAATTCTCCATGCTCAACGTCGTTTAAATGTAACGTACTCAATCTTTTCGTAATGTTAGACGTACGGAAATTTTTGTTTGAATAATATCTGAAAGTATGTTACAATTATTAAGGTAGGAAACTATTATATAGAAAGTTTTCAGTTGTTAATGTTATATAATAACACATAATCGTCATACATTTATTTTTGCTGCTTAAAGATTGGCCTTAAAAGTCTAGTTGTGATTGACCTCAGGTGGGAATAATAATACAGAATGGAAGCAGATGTGTTATTGTTTGCTTCAGACTTATCGTTGAGCCACTGAGGGGGTTATCGTATTAGATGTTGTCAGTATTGGTATTGTTTAACATTTATTTCGGTTCAGTGATGCATTAAATCATTTATGATATGTTTTCAAATATTAGCTTTCGTGAAGTATCATTGCAGTACCAGAAAGGATAACAATGAAGAATGGTTCTCTTAAATGGCCAAGACATCTTACAATCCAATGATGGAAGTATTGTTAACAGAAAATAGGATTATTTTATGGATTCCTTATTCGACTTTTTTACTGATTTAAACTTGTTCATGGATTGTATGTTTGACTAATATATACTTCATGATAAAAAAAAAGTAGATTGTAAAAGAAAAAATTCAATTGATATAACTACGACCAAAATATTTATTGATATTGAAAATAATTGTTTATTATATTATTAATTTCATATAATTAACATCTTTTATTATTACTGTAGAAATACTAACATTATTTTTTATTTTTTTTTTGTTGGAGGACCGTGACATAATTCTTGGATTACTAGTAATCATTGATAATACGTACCTCACAAAAAACATTTTGAAGTTTATTGTATATTTATAGTGTTATGTACTAGATACGGAATATGGTATCAGATTTGCCAAAAGGACAGAAAGTTGTTATTAAAGGTAATATTTTGGTGTTTGTTCATCGCTTAAGGTCTGCGTCATGAAAAAGCAAGAGATTTTAAAATGTACCCTCGTTTATTATAAAACGTATTTCTGGTTAAAACAAAGATTGGAAATAAACGTATTTCAGATATTGAAAAATTGTACTTGTTGTGATTAGGGGCTATTTTATTTATAGAATTGGAGAAAATGAACCTCCAAGATGGGGTAAAATGGCCTCCGTCTAACTCATAACAACTGCAATTTAAAATTAATGCTGCATTTAAGATCATCATTTAAATGCTTCCAACATAGCCGTGTACCATGCGCAAGTTGTACATTATTTAAGACAGTGGCGCAGAAGAACTAGGGTACTGGTGGGGGGTAAGAAGGCCCCGTGAGTAGTCGTCTTACCCTCAGCTACTCATCATAAAGCTTTCGTATTCGGCTGTCTATAGGTCATTATTGTTTGAGATCAATAAAGTATAATTACTTGAAATACCTACTTGGTAACCATAAAAACCTCAAAGTGCTTACCTTAGATTAAAGTTGTTTAAAAAAAATAAGTCACAGTTTGATTATTTACATTGGCGCCCGTTCGCATTTGTATTTATATACAGGGTCAGATGAATAATATTTACATATAATTCACTATAAATATCAGTATGTCGTAAATGATGATATACTGGGGTGGCCTTTTATCTCGCTTTCTTCTACAAAAGAAGAGCGGCCCGGCATGGCCACGTGGATAAGGCGCTCGACTCGCAATCTGAGGGTCGTGGGTTCGAATCCCTGTCCCACCAAATATGCTC